AGGGGGCGGGGCCGGGCGGAGAGGCAGGGGGCGGGGCCGGGCGGGGAGGCAGGGGGCGGGGCCCCCTCCCCAGCTGCTGACCGCAGCCCTTCCGAGGGGGCGGGGCCTGGGGGAACCGATGCCAGCGGCTCCCCCACACCTACCTGATGACCCACCCCCACCATGCCACCAAACCCAGGGCGGGGCCCTGTCCGCCCGCGAGCCCGCCCGGGCAGGAAAGGCCGTGTGAGTCTCCAAGGTGGGGCCGCGGCCGCACAGCGGTGAGCACTGGCCCACTCAGGCCTCACACAGCAAACACCCCCCCCACACACACACTCGGGGAGCCATCACGGAGATGAGGGGTACCCACATGTGTTAGGGTTGAAAGTTCCCCCTCCCGCACCAACTTGGGATGAGCCCGGCCTTGACCTGTTGCACCCCAGCCCCCCACTCTGAGGCCGCAGCGCCACGCAGGTCGGTCCACTTTGGCGGGGACTGAGTAGCCATTGTGGTTCCAAGCCCAGGCAGACAAAGTCTCCCATTAACCAGCAAAGAGCCAGAAAAGGAAGGCATGGCTCAAGGGGCAGAGCACCAGCCTTGAATGGACAAGCTAAGGGAGGATGAGGCCCTGCATTCCAACCCATTACACCACCAAAACAAACCAGCAGCCAGAACCAAGAATGGTTAGCTGGGAAAAAACACCAGGTTGGAAGTGTGGCTCACTTGGAAGAGCACTAGCCAGTGCGTGAAAGCATCAGGTACCGAGTTCAAATCTCAGACTCCCCCCAATGGCCTAGACATAAATGTAACCAACCGGATACCAGACCCCATGATGAAGATAGCCAGGCAGATAGATGTGAGGAATGGCGTGACGCGCAGTCACCCTTGGTGAAATGTCTGTGCTCCCCAAACGAGTGGAGGAAAACCATCTGTCACTGCTGTGGGACTGTAAAGGCCTCCCAAGTAACATGAGACTGCTTCACCACTCGGGTCAGAGCCAAAGCCCCGGTGCTGGCCACGACACCCACCCCGGGGCAGAAGAGAACATCCAGGCCAGGCACCCGTGGCTCAGGCCTGTCAGCTTAGCTACTCAGGAGGCTGAGATCTGAGGATCGCGGTTCGAGGCCAGGCTGGGCAGGAAAGTCTGTGAGACTGAGCTCCCAGGAACCACCAGGAACCCGGAAGTGGCTGTGGCTCAAGTGGTAGAGCGCTGGCCTTGCGCTGAAGAGCTGAGGGACAGCGCCCAGGCCCCGAGTTCGGGGGGGGGATGGGGGGCTGTGGGGGGAGGGCGGGAGGGAGGGGCCGGGCCGCGGTCGCGCAGGTGTGTGCCCGCATCGCATCTTGACTTCCTGGTTCGCGCCTGCTCTCCCCGCGGCTGGTTGTCTGTCCGTCTGCTCCGTGACTGCAGGCTCTTCACCACCCAGCCGGGCGCAGCCACGAGCGTTTTCCACTACGATTCCCGTGTGGTCACTTTGCACCACGGTTTGAGGAGAGACACAAGTAAAAAAGAAGGCACTGGGGGCTGGGCAGGTGGCTCAGCATGCCTGAGGCCCTGGGTTCGATTCTTCAGCACCACATAAGAAAAAAGGAAAAAAGCCGGAAGTGGCGCTGTGGCTCGAGTGCTGGTAGAGCGCTAGCCTTGAGCTGAAGAGCTGAGGGACAGCGCCCAGGCCCAGAGTTCAGGCCCCACGACCGGACCCATAAAAAAGAAGGCTGTGCGCTGCGTCCTTTCTGGGCTCTCCGGCCGCGTCCCGTCCCCTCGTCGGGGGCAGAGGCGGAGGCGCGGGCTCGGCTGTTCCCGGCGGTCCAGAAGAGGCCGGAGGCTCCGGGTGCGGCCCGCGCGGCGCCTGCAGTCCCGGCGGCCCGGTCTCACGGGGGTCGACCGGAGGACGGCGCTCAGCTTTCCTGCTGGTTCACGGGAGGTCAGAGTCGCGCGCACGTCCCCGCCCGGGCTGGCCTGGAACCGCGATCCGCGGCCCCCCGCGCGGGATGGCGCGGGATGAGCGGCTCCTCGCCGATCCACCGCCAAAAAGGCGGCGGGGGACAGGATCCAGCGGCAAAAAAGCGAAGCAGGAGGCGCTGCGCGCGTGCGCAAGGCCTGGCGCACCCCAGCCTGAGTCCCGGGGTTTGAACTCGGGGCCTGGGCACCACGTGAGCCACGGCGCCGCGTCGGGGTGAGGACTCGAACCCGGGGCCTCAGGCGGGCCTGGGGTGAGGGTCCGGGCGCCCTCAGAGGGAGCGGGCCCCCGAGGTGGTGTCCAGCAGCGTGGAGGACAGCCTGGC